AGGTGGTTTGTTTAGCGAATTCTCTTGCAATTTTGATTTATTAACATGTCAAATTCAATTGATAAATTAAATACAATAAAATTTAAAACAAAATTGAAAATCACTAACCAAGTTGGCCTTAATGTCAGTCAAAGTCATAGAGCTACTAGTATGCAATGATCCTCTTTTATTGGATGTTCTATTTGTCTTGTTTTTACGGGAAATTTTTAAACTCATATGTACGCCAATACTCTTGCAAGACATGAAGGAAGTGAGGTTCTATCCAATCTGTAGATGATGGGTCCTGACGAGCTTCAATATATATCTGTCTTAGTCGCTTTGAAGTGCGACTCTTTTTGGCCTTGAAAATTATCTTCTTATCTTAGGGATAATGGAGAAGTTGTTCTATATAAATAGGAATTAATTAATACAGGTACAAGAAATAGAGATGTAATTAGACTTAAAATAAATTAATTGACTTTTATTTCCTTCCAATCTTTGAATCACTCTACCTTTATATCCTTAAGCACCTTAGCAAAACTGGTATAAGGTGTATCATACATCTTTTTATTGGTATCCATTACCTAGTAGATACCTTTCTATGGTGAATACCAACTGAACAGGCAATAAAATAACACAATCATGAAAATGTTTACATCAAATAAAGTTTTGTGACATATTTTATAAAAAACTTACCAAGTCTATCCATCCCATCTCAAACTTAGAAGGGGTCTTGATGGTATCTGGGTTTGTGATTATTGCCCATAGGAAGATGCAACAATAGTAGATCCCTCGCTTATGTACTGTGTGGAGAGTGACAGTGAGGCAGATGTGGTTAGTGGTGCAAATTATGAAATTTGTTGTATTGGAAGGGAGGAGGCACATACCCAGGATTGGGCACCATGATGAACTACTCCTGCCCCCCAATACTACAACTGGTGTGGATGTGGAAGATGGAGTAGTTGATGGAAGAGTGCTTCCACGAGCAGGATGCTAAGCAACACCTTTCTTATCTTTACTTAACATACATTAATCAAACCTAATACAAACATAAAATAGCATATGAACATCTTTTATTTTATATTACACAAATTTCTAAAATTAATTTCAGCAGAATCTCACATGATGTATGAACATTTCCTTTGCACATAATATATATTATATAAAAATATGTTAATAAATAAATAAAAAACATACACATCACAATCTTAAAACTGTTCTAGAGCACATCTCTTTATAACTCGACAACATGCATATTCTACAATCTTTACAAATACAAACAGTCCTACAGCAAACAATATTCAGGTTTGAGGAAAGACCTTTACACCCATCTCCTAGTCATACAATCTCCAATCTTAGAAATCATAAGTTTCTATTCTACATCAAAAATTAAAAAAAACTAAACCGATTAAAAGTTAGAATATCATACCAGGAATACAATAGTACAATTCGTTTTCCAAATGCTCCAACCACTCGTAATGAGAAAAGAACTAAAGATGGTAGAGAGAGAGAGGGAGATGAGGGAGATAGGGAAAAATAGAAACTGAGGAGGAAGAAGAAGGGAAGGCACGATTTTGATCTATTTCGCATGTTTGTAACTGGTTTAATGAAACATACTGTTTAAAAACCTCAATTATAGACGAATTTTTTTGTTTGTAACTCCATTAAATGCAATTATAGATGAATTTTTCAGTTTGTAAGTCCTGCTCAATATTTTGTACTTTAGTTTCAAATTATAGATAAATTTTTCCCTCTTTAACGTTTGTCTGTGAGGTTACGCACTAAATGGTGGGCCATTTATAGACAAATTTTTTTGTCAGTAAATAGTTATATAAAAGGTCATAAATATGTTTTAAAATATAAACATAATTTTTTATCTGTAATGTTAGTTTGGGATGTTATGCGCTAGAAGGTAGACTTTTTACAAACAAATTTTATCTATTTGTAATATAGACAGATTTACAGATAAATTTTACAAAAATGAAAAAAAATTAACTTATAGTCTATAAATTTGTTTGTAATCAACGTGTTTCTAATAGTGGCAATTATTTTACACTCATTAGATAGTGGTAACAATCAATTAAATGATTAATAATTACTTTAACACAGTTAAATATAATTGAATTCACATGCATATAGACAATTATAAAAAAAAATTGAAGTTCTCAAGCTTTCATCCATATTATAATCTAACTTAATGATTCCTTCACATTTTACTTTCTTCAATTTTCTAAATCATTTAAATTCTTCTTATCAATCCAAAATTATTGTTGAATTTATTTAATATTCAAGTAATATTAGTGGTAGGTGTGCTTCCAATAATAGTCTCTGTAAGAATAATAGTAGAAGAGTTTAAAACACATCCTCGATGAGTGCACTTGCTTGTAGGTTTAAAACTTTTAAGAATACTAAAATCCGCAACACTAAATTATTACAAGCCAATTGATGCTAAAAGATGCATATATGTGGGAGATGCAAACTCGGTAAATGTGGAAGCAATTGGTATTTTAGACATGGTTAGACATTGGTTATTATTTGGATTTAATAGATATACTTTTATTGTATTGTCACTTAGATAAAATTTGGTTTCTAGTTCTTTATTCGACAGATTATATTAGTCTTGCTCATTTAAAAATAATAAGTTTCTATTATTTATGAATTCAATATTATTGGTACTAGTTTTCCAATATATTATGATAATTTACATTCTCTTGACATAATTGCATCTTATCAAGAAACTTTGCATGAGTCATCATGCAGTACTAATTGTAAAATTATTAAGAAAATTCAAGATCATTATAGTATAAGGATTAGGTTATTTTTCTAAATCAAAAATAGAGTGACTTGTATCTAATAGTATTTTGAATAATACAGACTATATAAACTTTAATATTTGTATAATTGTATTAATGAAAAACAAACCAAAACTAAGAAAACAAATGCATGTAGAAGCTCAAACGTCTTAAAATTAATACAAATGAATATTTGGGAATGATTTTGAATGATATAGACTATATAGGCTTTAATGTTTGTATCAACTGTATCAAAGAAAAGCAAACAAAAACTAAGAAAATAGACGCATGTAGAAGTTCAAACGTATTTTGAATGATATAGATTATAAAGACTTTAATGTTTATATCAATGAAAACAAACTAAAACTAGAAAAATTAATAAGCTTTTGATAAAGTGGTGAATAATAACATATATCATTCATCGATGACTATTCTAGGTATAAGTATCTTAATTTGATTAAGGACAAGTCAAAGATATTTTACCAAAAGAATTATATGTGTTAGATCTTCGAAATGTAGTAGGAGTATAATAAGTTATTTTATATTACTAGAGTCTCTAAGAGAAACATTAAAGATAACAACCTATATTTTGAATAGTATCAATTAAAGCAAATGCAAAAACACTTTATGAGTTTTAAATAAGGGGAAGCACGACCTTATGAACTCAAGAAAATAAATTGAACTTTAAAACTATTAATAGTTATTTTATTGGTTATTGGAAATGTTTCAAAGCTATAATTTTATGAACCTACAATTAAGACTATATTTCAGACAACAACTACACAATTTTTTTTGAGAATGTTAAGTTTTGGGAAGGGGGAAGAAAATATGGTTGGAGACAATATTTTTCAGAAAAAAATTGATTTATATTTCTAAATCGATTTGTGTTATTGCTTTTCATAATGTGCACATTAGGACACCTATTGTTAAACAAGAAAAAAATATAGAAATTCAACAAGGTAATATTGAATAAACCTTCTCTCAAGATGAGATAATTGTTACTCTTATGGAAGAAATTTAAAAACCTTAACAATCAATGTTATTATGTAGGTTCACTGTAGAGACAAAAATTACATGAAAAGTTACATAAAACAGAGAACCAAAATCAAATTAACATTATTGTACTTGTTTTCGATTTTGACCAAAGAAAGCATGAAGAGTTTCTCTAAGACATTAAGGACACAGTGGTACATGGTACAGATGGATGTTGATTATTAGTCCATGTAAAACAAATATTTATCATATGACAATAATGTGTTGGACTTTCTTTATTTAATTATCACTTAACAAGTTCAAAAAGTTACAGATTATATACTACCAAATCGCTTTTCTATAAAGACTAAGCCTAAAATCAAATAGCATTTGAAATAAGTCTATAAACTAATAAAATTAGCTTTCTTATAAAACATTTTTATTTAAATCAAATAAATTATAAGTTAATTAAAATAGTCACATAAAAGACTTAAGTATGTTTTTAGTCCTAGCATTTTAATGACTTTTTAGTTTTAATTCTTTAAAATAATTTTTTTGATTTAATTTTTTATTAATATTCTTTTAGTCCATATTACTGATTTAGTCTACTAAAATGTTGTCATGAGAGACTTAAAATAATAATTTGTTAAAAAATAAAGATAAAAAATTAAAAAAATTTGAAGAGAACAAAAATAAAAGTTGTAGAGACTAAAAATATATTCAAACTTATATCAAATTTGTTCACGTTGCAAAAGAAGTTAAGATGACAACTCACTTTATATTTTTCACTGGATAATATATTTATCTTTTAATTACTTAAAATATTAATTTATAATATTATATACATACTTATATATATATATATATATATATATATATATATATATATACTCTTTCATTAATTTAAAAACATGTTAACAATAAACTAAAAATAAACAACTAATAATAATAAAATTTTATTGAAAAATAAAGTATTTATTAAACTTTTACAACTTTAATAATAATTTTTTTTCTTAAAAACTTTCCTTGAGTGATTCATGAATCATGAATAAACAATGATGTGCCAGCGAAACAAAAAGCAACCAAGGCTCATGGAAGATTCCCAACCCCCATAATTATTACTATGGATCCATCCACGAAGGAAGAACACAACACGTTTTGGTTTGACCATGTTGACTCTCTCCACTGTTTATCTTTACCTTCTACTATATATTCTACCTCAACCTCACCTTTTCTTCACATCTTCATTTCAACTGCAAACATAGCTATCACTTTCACACTTCCTCTTCAACTCTTTCCTCTTCTTAGTCCCCAAGCTCCTCTTTGCCTTCCTTTCCAGTTATCACCAACGCTTATTGCTTAGCTCCTGGAATTTTAATTCATTCGCGAGGACAATGAAGGTTAGAAAATAGACCCTTAAGCCCATCCCCTTTATCTCCTCTATTTCATCAACTAAAATGTGTTTGGTTAAGTATATTTTAAGGAAATAATCGCTTATTTTTATGGGTTTTGTCTGAGAAAGATTTTAAAAAATAAATGGTTATATTTTTAAAATTCAAGCGATTCTAAATTTCCTACTAATAATTACATGGCTCCTTCGTTCAATTTTTAATAAGAATTGTAATTTTGTTCTGTTTCCATGCATGATTGATGAATTTTCTTTCTTTTTTCCCGGGTTTGTGTGTGATGATTTCCATTCGATTTGGACTTGGAAGTAATTGTTGGGTCCTTAATGCTCTTTGGTTTGTTCAATGATACAGAAAGTGGTATTGAAGGTAGACTTGTATGATGACAAGATCAAGCAAAAGGCTATGAAAGCAGTCTCTGGCATTTCAGGTATTGAATTTCGATTTCTTAAGCTTCCTCTTCTGCTTTGCCTCTTTGTTTTTAGATGGTGGAAAGAGAAAGAAAACAAAGAAGAAAACATAGCAAAAAAGAAATACCTTGTATTCATTTATGGGTAGCAAAGTGCCGTAAATGTAAAACATTTCTTTTTCCTTTGATTTATGTTAGTTGAATGGCTTTACATTATCCTCACTTAACCAAAATTATGTTAACATTTTGCAGGGGTTGAATCAGTGTCTGTGGACATGAAAGACAAGAAATTGACCTTAGTGGGAGACATTGATCCAGTTCATGTAGTGGGAAAGTTAAGGAAATGGTGTCATACTGAAATAGTGTCTGTTGGACCTGCCAAGGAAGAAAAAAAGAAAGAAGAACCTAAGAAGGTAAATGAGAAGGACTCAACAAAACCACCAGAACCTGTCAAACTTTATGAAGCCTATCCCCTTTATTATCACCAAATGAAACCATTGCAATATAACCAATATCATCAATATGTCACAAGCTCCCAAGAGGACCCTAATGGTTGTGTCATATGCTAAATTTTAGGATATCTAAGACTTAAATGTAAAACAAATGCAAAAGAAATGGCATCGTGGAAATTTTTGAGGGTTTTTTCCAAGTTTCAGATTGAAGGGTGAAGTGTGTCCAAGTGTACTATTATTCTGTATAAGAATTTGTTGGGTGAGGTTGTACAAAATTATGGGTTGTTATTAAAAAATAATAGAATTTGTTTGATTGAATTTATATTCAATGATGGTTCACAATTTTGAAAATTTTCTTGCTTCTACTGCTTTCAGTAATTAGATATACGAATAATATTGACTAAGCTTGAATACTTTATTTTTGTCAAATTAATGTACCTATACTCAGTATGTATCAAGTATCAATCAGTACACGTTGAGTACACTTGAATACATAAGTAATAGATTATTATTCTTTAATTTGACAATATTTCTGATAAATTTATAAATTATTTTACCCTTTTCTTAATTTTTTATATATTTATTTTTCTATTTAATCAAATCCATTCACACTTATGACATATGTGATATGAGTAGTTAAATTCTTATATCACAGATGTTTTCACAATAATTTACAATTATTTTATTCTTCATTTGTATTATTTAAAAATTAAATTAGATTACCCATACCTTTAATTCTTAAAATTTATTGTATCTCGAACCCGAATGTGTACTCATGCAACATAGAATATAGCTTATTGACTAGTTGGAGATTTTAAATAAATAACCTGTGCCTTTGTGGGTATGAAATTTGGAGACTGTAATGAATAAAAACATTTGGTTGGTTGTGTTCAAACAAGACTTACCCTCTTAATATCAAAGTAAGGCTAAAGACAATTAAAAATCCCTTTTCTGGTGTTAATTTGTAGTATGATATTCTGTTGGCATTAAGATTTTTCTCTTCTTGTGTTGAGATAAATAAATTTTTATCACTGGACTCTTCATCACATAGCTGTGTTTATATAATGGAAACAAGTAATGTAGGTTTAGATGGATCTGTAAATTCAAAACTAGTTACTATGGGGATGAATAAACTTTTATTCATTAGTTATTTGTGATCACCCTTTAGAAGATGTATTTTAGATAAAAGTAGTCAACATTCGTTGACAAATATTTTCAGAAGTCAAACAAAATTGCATCATCATCCCACAGATCAATTGAATAAGTAACTAAATCTATGGCTAATGTGTTGGAAAATAAAAGTTTCAGATTGGTTGAAAATAAAAGATGTTAAAAAATATAATTAAGTTGTGTACAAGTACAAATTACCTTAGGCATTTTTAACGAAGTAGTAAAAACGAAGTGAATCCCACAACATGAGGACTACCCCTAGGAATGTTATATTTGGAACCACACAACTTTGATTTCGCCACTTTGCATTTGGGTGAGATGAACATAACTTCAAATATAACACAACTTTGTTCTCCTTTTTTTCTTTTTAAGAGGGTAAGGTATGTGGATTTTGCTTTTTAAATTTTAAGATTCTTTTCTTTGGAAATTTGTTTTTCAATTTCTCTATTTTCTCAATTTATATGAGATTCAAGTGAGATACTTTAGACAAAAAGATTAAACCTCAATGGAAGGTATTTCCTTGATATTTCTTTTTTATTCAAATTTTTTGTATTTTTATTTACTATGTATTGCTGAATTTCTAAGTTAGGATAAGATGTATAATCTGTATTCAAGCTTATGTAATCTTTATTTTTGTGAATTTAATTTAATTTTTTTTATGATTGTATTGTTTTTCTTCTAAACTTGAATTAGTCATTTGATTATATGAATGTAAAATATTTTTAGACAATGAACACATTTACAGGCATACTTACATATTACAATTTATCTAAATAAAAAAATTTGAGATTGATGTGATTGTTATTAATTTACGTTTGTAAATATTGCTCTTAGTTGAATCTAGTTAAGATATTAAGATATTTATCTAAGAATTAATTTAAAATATAAAAAAATTAGTTAGATAATGTAATAACATATATATAAAACTCAGTTACAATTTGCAAATTTTTTTACATTACTGATGATCCATATAAACTTTGAATCTTAACCACACTTGTCAATGTGATTTTACATTGATTTGTGTTCATTTATTTATATAGTTATGTTTTTTTTCCTGTATTAATTTTTTTTTTGTTGCATATTTTCATGAAAAATTCAAATTCTTTTACATAATCTCGTTTGTTTTACATTATTTTATAATAAAAGAACTAATTTTATATTATTTTAAATATTAAAAGACTTAATTTATTCAAACAAAACTTAAAATCGATAAGATTATGTTCTCTGAAAGAAAAAAAAATTATTTTATATTTTAACTTAAATTTGATGTTTAGATCGGGTTGTTTTAAGACGTTTAAAATAGCTTCACTGTTTTAGTTTATTAAAATTCTGAATAAAGAATAATAATTTGAGAATTTGAAGTAAAACATTAATAAATAGATTAAATCTGCACATTTTAAAAGTTAATGGACTTTACTAACTTTAAAAAATTAATAAATTATATATATACTGAATTAAAGAGATAAAGAAAAACAATTAAACTTAAATTTTAAGGAATTCAACACCTTTTTACTGTTACAGATCATTAAAGCACATCGACAAATAAATGAATATTATAATATAAATTCGACTTTTTATGGAGTAAGTTTTTTCCTCTGAAAGTTCCCTGCTTCAGTATTTTCGTGGGATCCATCGTCGAAGGAAGGTGATAGTTTCCGACTTGTGATTGGCCAATTATTCGAATACTTTTCTCTTCAAAAATAATGTATAGCAACTTTAAAATTATACAAATATTTATGAATATAATGTTAGGGAAGACTCTTCTTACAGCGATGTAGATATAAAAAATTTTACATTGATTTAAAATTTTTATTTTACTTATATTTAATGATAATAATAAATTATAATCTATTATAAAAAAATTTAAACTTATTTTTGTGTAGAAAAATTCTGTAACTATGATATTAACGTGTCTTTAAATTGATCTCCGATTTATTGATTTGGTTTGCTTTCAAATTTTTCAGAATAGATAAATATTAATTTGGCTTGACGTGACTCTGAAAATTAATAAAAATAACCACATGCCAGCTATGATATCATTTACTAGACCTTTTAAATATTTCAATGGAGAAAATTTAGATAATGTTGTATAGGTACCTTTAGGATTATTGATTAATAGAAATTAGAGTTTTATCACGTATAATAAAAATTTATATTTAATGTTATTGTATATTGTTTTGAATAAAATTTTAATTAGTGAACATTATTTATAAAACTGTACTTAAGTTTTATTTTATTTCAATTAATTCATTGTTATTTCACGAGTCTTATAATATTTGTGAGACTAATAAAAAAAATATCTTAATTTGATTATAATTAATATGCATTATAATTTATATTTATTTATAAATTAATTTTAGATTGAAAAATTTTATTTTAATTTTTACATGAGTGCTTCGTTATGCTTTATCTCTGTCATTAACATTAATAAAAAAAATACTGATGTGACTTTGTATTAATAACTTAATAAATTGTATTTTTTACTAATAATATTACGATGAATACTAAATTGGAATAAATGTTAATTATAAGAATTAAATATGGATTTTGATCAACGATCTGATATTAGATTAATTTTCTTTAATATAATATTAATCTAAAAATAACTAAATATTGCTATTATAAACATTGTCATAATATACCACCCTAAAAAATAATTACATTTATATATAAAACTATTACAATGATTTATAACAGGATACAGAAAATTGTTCAATGATTATTGATGGTGTCACTTTCTTAGAAGGATCGGGATGAGCAAGAAGCAAGAACAATAATGATTCAAACATGGTTCCTCATTTAGAAAACAAGCAAATTAAAGAAAGTGTATGATTGCTTTGTGTGAGCTTCCAAGGCCAATAAATCAGAGTCACATTCAGATACCTTTTAATAAAACTTATAAAATAATATTTAATTAAGTGTGGCAAGCAAACTCAGAAAGTGCTGTCATATTGAAATACTTTCAGAAGAAATCAAATTCAGATGTTTTATTTATATTTAAAAGTCTATTTTTAGGAATCAAAATTTAGTTATTTAAATAACAAGAAGGAATGAGATATGACGGAGAAAGTTTTCATTTTCTTACTTAAATGCTCCACTGAATGATCATACTTCTAGAAAATTTATAACATCTTATTCATGAAATTCATATGACTAAATATCTACAAGTAATATCCTTAGTCAAGATATAATATATATTCAAGCTGATATTTACAAATAATAACTAAAAAATGTAGAGTAAATAATATTATTTTCAAACAGCATGCAAAATTTTGATCTTCAATTGGTATTGATTCTCTAGTTAGTAAAAAGTGTATTACATAGGTAAAGAATTAACTATAGTATCTAGTTTATTAAAAGTGTATCTTTAATTTAATAATACTATACAAGAAATTAACTTTAGTATTATAAAATATATTAACTTTCTTGATTATAAAGTTTTAAAGATATTTTATATCTAAAGTTAATCATATATGTTCAAATATTTGGATAAAAAGATAATAATTTAAAGATTTAAAAAATCAATAAAGAAAATAAATTTATTTAATATTTAAAATTTTAAAAAATTAATCGACTTAAGAAATAAAAATTTAAGTTACACACAATCTAAATTAAAAAAATCTAAAAGTATCATTAAATCCAATTATTTTTAGAATATATTGGCTTCATTTTTGTCTGGTTATTACTCCTAGTTCAAAATAATAGTCACTTTAGCAACTTTTTAAAAAAAATTGTCACTTTAAAATTTCAATGGTATCTTAATTTTTTTTTTCAATTTTACTCTTATATAATTATCACAAAAGTTTTAATAATTTGTAATAGTTTTATTTTCTCAACAACCACTTACTCGTCTTCTATCGTTCATTTATTGTTATCATCATTTCTAAAAAATTCTACAAAGGACATAATAAAAAATTAATAATAAATTTTTATAAAAATAAGATTATTAAATCTATTTTTTTAGTTCTTGTGTTATAACCTTTCTATTCTTTTTATTATTAATCTTTTATTTTTCTTTTTCCCCTTATTTCACTCCATCTAAATATTGAAAATTATATATTTACATATTAAAAATTAAATAATAAAAACTACTAACTCAATTTTTAAATATTCTCATCTATTAATCAGTAATTTTTATTATTCAACATATAAATTTAATAAAAATAATACAGTATTTAAAAAGAAGATAGCAGTGGTGAATTTTAGTAACCCCTCAATTATTTTTCTTATCAAGCATGTATTACTTTTATGAATAATTTCTTCAATAAAATTATATTATAATACAGAGAAATACTACTTAGAATTTTAAAACATTTATTAAGGAATTACAATAAAAAATTATTAATACAGTAATTTTTATTGTGATTTGAATACACCATTATAATTTTTAAAAATTATTTATTAATTTCTTAACTAATATTGTTAAATAGTAAACAGTATACTTATAATGCATACAAACATGTTAATACTTTGCTTCCCTCAAAATAATTGGCAAGTTTTAATTAATTCTATAGAAAGAAGATGAATTATTTTTTCGGTGAACAAAAGGGGGAAAAAGTTAGTTAAGTGGACTCCTACTTTATATGCTTGAAAGGTAAAAAATGCCTTCAATGATTGCTCTCTTTATAAGCTATCATCCATCACTTTCTATGAACTGTACGGTTGGTAGAGGTTGCAGAATTTAAAGATTACACGGTTTTTGCCGCGTAAAATCTAACACATACTGCACTTAGTCTTGAAGACCATGCTTTGTTAGTTGACTTGGGTTGACTTCAGAAGACCGTGTTCCTCACCACCTAGTATAAATCCTACTCAATCTCATCCAAACATATATCACAACTTCATTTGCGATAGATAAGCCAAACAATTTTAACTTAGCTCTCAATAAGCTTTAACAACAATGAAGGTCAGAACTACACTCTCATGTCGTGAAACCAATCTCTTTTACATCTGCTCTCCTTCACCTTAATCCATGCATGAAACCCATTTCTTGAGTTCCCATATGGGGCTTTCTTTACTATGTTCTATTTCCATGCATGGCTAATTCATGTCGTTGTTCATTCACTTTGTTTTTTTCTTGCTTTGATCTATTCTATAGTTTGAATCGAAGTACTTAACTGTTTACTTAATTTTATGTAAATTAGAACAAGAAGTAATTGCTGAGTCCTAATACAGCTTTGATTTGTTATGAAACAGAAAGTAGTGTTGAAGGTGGAGTTACATGATGGTAGAATCAAGCAAAAAGCTATGAAGACAGCATCTGGCCTTTCAGGTATTGAATTTCAATGCCCTCTTCCATAATTTATAATCACAATTGCAATCGCAAAATTACAATTTTATGAGAATTCATTGACTAACTGTAATAATTTTGCAGGGGTTAAATCAGTTTCGATAGACATGAAAGACAAGCAATTGATCTTATCCGGGGACATTGACCCAGTAAATGCAGTGTCCAAGCTACGAAAGTGGTGTCACACTGAAATAGTTTCAGTTGGACCAGCAAAAGAGGAGGACTCGCCAAAAGTAACTGTTCCTTCCCAGCCCTATGAAGTTTATCCCTTTATTTATCAGATGACACCGCCACAATATAGTCAAAGTTACTATGTTAGAAGTGTCGAAGAGGATCCTAGTGGCTGTGTCATATGCTAATTTGGATAATATTAGCAAGTTTGATAAAAAAAGACATCGTAGTGCCTTTGGTTGATCTTTTTTTGTTATGATCTAGATTGAATACTATAGTGTGTAGTATTTCAATTGGTATTGTATGTTTGGTTAAACTTTGTATGTCATCATTTTGTAAAATGTAGACGAAATTTGAGTGAAAAGAGTTCTTTTAGTTCTTCCTTCGATTATTAGAAATTTGTCAATTTACTACGAATATAAATTTAATGGAATTAAAGATCAAATCCATTATTCAAATCGAAACATGAACGTGGCTACATATGTTGTCAACAAACTATCAAGTATTGCAGAACAAGCTCAACATGAACAGTAGAAGAAATCCACCCCAAAGGAGAAATAAGATACCATTTTGTGCTAATTTGAAGTATTTTATGAGAAATAACATAACATTGATATCTGTGTGATTAACATGAAAAGTATATGATAAAATGAGTAATCACCGTCTCTACAATAGCCATGAGAGATTTGGCTAATTCCCTTGAACTTTACAAGCCACTATAGCCTCCTAACAAGTAATGGTAACCTCATGAGAGCTCAAAGTAGATAGATACCCATGACTCCTGAATCAATGATTTGGCACTTCGTTAAAGATTCAAAGGCAAATCCTCAGTGCCATGAACTCAATCGCGAGCGTTGTCCCTAGTGTATAATAGACTCTCAGATATTTGAATTCACGCTAGTTTATCACGTTGACAATGAAGCTCAGTGAGAATGTCATTTTTAAACGATTATAAAAATAGTAAATGTACATCTTAGAATTATCTATAAATGAGCAAAATCAGAAGTTAATTAATTTTATATGATCAATTTTAAAAGTATGTGGCATGACCTATTTTTTAATATATTTTCGTACTCATTTTCATATAAATAAACCACTATCATTTAATATATTCCCATACCAAAAATATAACTACATATATCAAAGTCTATTTATTTTTAGCTCATCCCTTGGTTAGTTTCTGAATTCTTCCCTAGTTAGGAAATTTTATCATGATCCTCGTATTTAAGTGAACCAAAAGTTCAAGAGATAATTTACTTGCAAAATTTCACAAGCTGATTGTTTGACATATTTATTAACCTAACGATGAGAATGGCTAAATCGTATGTAGCAATGGCTATACTTCAATAAAATTGTCATCCTTGTCAGAACGCATAAAGTGTAGCAGACCCATCAATTTCAAAGATAAAAAAAAAATACTTTGAAAAAAATAAGCTAAAATTCATAGTGGTCTAAGTTTTCAGTGAGAGAATATTGTAAATTATTAAAGAATAAAGGTTTATTTTATATCTAGATTTTTCCACTCAAGCGTTTAAATATTCTTTAAGTATCCACTTGGCGTGCAGAATTAAATATGAAATTGAAAGTAAAAATTAAAATTAGATTTCAAAATTTTAATTATTATATTTGGATATTTATTTAGAATTAGGATTATAATTCTATTAAATTCTATAATAACTAAATTTGACCCACTTCAATTTCTAATTTGTATTCTAGGAATTTAAATTTCTAAATATCATAATTTATAAATACATTATCTTTCTTATCTTTCTGAATACTTTATTTCCTAAATACTTTCTTCCTCTCTCTTACACAGTAAAAAGTATACTTTGAAGCACTTGTATTTAATTTATATTCTTAATTTTGAGAATTAAATTATATTTGTGAACATTTGTATGCTTTTATCTAATTTATGAAAAAGATAATTCATAACATAATATGAAATTTTAATGATAAACTAAACATAAAAATAAATTTAATTTCATAATTTTTGAAAAAGAAATACTAAGTTATCATTTTTAATAATTTATTTAATAATAATTTTTTATTTTTAATTAATATATTATTTTTGAAAAAGTTATTAAATAAAATTTTAATACAAAATTAAATTATATTTTAAAAATTTTAATTTTACATCACATTATAAAATTTGATTTGAACTTAAAATTATAATTTTAAATTTTAATTCTTTAAGTATGTCAAGCACAAAATTATAATTTTGAATCAATTCTAATTAGAATTAAAATTAAAATTATAATTCTAAATGTCAATTCTAATTTCATATATCGATATATAGTAACATTAAATATAAATTTTTATTAAATATAAGAACTATTTTTATTAATAATAAATGTAAAATAAGAAAGAAGAGAATAAAGAAAAATAAGAAAACATAACAGAAAAGAAGTAGTAATAATAATTAATATTATGAAATTATAAGGAGAAAAAAATATAAAAAAATATAAAAGAATATAAAAAAAGAAAAAAAATATATAGAAAAGAGAGAGAACAAAGAGAGAAGAAGAAAGAATTACAATATTATAAATTCAAATTTTTTAATGTGTATTAAAAATTGTTAAGAATTGAAGTGAGTTTAGTTGACATATAATTTCATAAAATTAGTCTACGTAATTATAATTTTAATTCTAAGTATATAATTATAATTATAATTTTAAATAGATATTTAAATAAGATAATTAAAATGATGAAACATAATTTCAATTTCAACATCCAATTCCTTGCACAGGCCTGAGTGCATATCCTTTACTGCATCTCCTAAGAGCTAATCGATGACGGAATGGACCACACACCTTTTTTTTTGAGGATGCGTAAAGGCTGGATTCCTAGGCAGTATCTTCTTCCCTCGCTTTCTGTGGAAAATGCAGCCCTCTAATTCAATAGCCTATATTTCACAGTGGTTACTGATCTATCGTTCATACTCAGAAGAAGCAATTGCATATAAAGTTGCACCAATAGAGGAGATGAGGTGGCTATCATACATAAGAAACCAAAGGAAGTAATGCATCCACCAATATATATGAGCCCAAAATCTGAGGATAAATTGAGTGTACATTTGAGTGTACACCTTCAATATTTAGAAATTTGGAAGACTCAAATGTAAAACTCAATAATTTTTACTCATTCTAATTTTAATTACTTGTATTTATTTCTTGTAATTCTTTAATTTTTCAAATCGATTCTCTCACTCTAAAATTTTATCTAAAAATTAATAAAAATATAATATATCATTGATTTATATAAATTTATAACTATTAATAGATAAAAAGAATTTATTATATTTTATTTAAATATTTTATATTTTTTAATAATTTATACAAATCATTAATATGTCATACTTTTATTATATTTTATTAAATATTGAATAATTTGAAGTGATAAAATTAATTTGAACAATAAAAATACTAGAAAAGTTAAACACAAATAATTAAAATTAAAAATATTAAAATAACATTTAAATTAAAATATTAAGAAAAAAATATAAATATACTTGATCTCAAGTGACCAAGAAACACTTGAGTAGGAGTGTAAAAGTGAGTTGGGTTTGATAGCTCACTTAATTCGCTAAAAATATTAGATCAAACTGAATATTTTGCACCTATTACTTGGTTGAATTTATCTCATTTTTGTCCACTAAAATGCATGCCAATGAAAGTTAGAGGCACATTAACCTGTTGGATCCATTTTTAATTTTAAAAAAAAATATTTATTGATATAAATTTTAAAAAAAAAATTTTTATAAATTTTTTAATACTTTTTATTTTTATGTTAATTTTAGATAGACTAATTCATTAGTTCATTGACTTTTTTATTTTATTTTTTTATTTTTTGAATAGACTCAAGAGAGCAGCCCACCTAGTTCACTAAAAATGGTAAACCAAACTAAATGTTTTATATCTATCGACTCACTAAAATCATTCTATTTTAGTCAACTAAAATACATGCTAATGAAAATTAGAAACAAGTTAAGGTGTTAATCTTTTTTAATTTAAAAAAATTATTATGATAAAATTTTTTAAATTTTTTTATAATTTTTATAACATTTTTATTTTTATGTTAATTTTAAGTGGACTAACTTATTAGTCCATTAATTTTTTTTTTATCTTTAGTGGACTAGTATGTGAACTCACCAACTCACCTTTATACAAGATTTTGGTCCCTCCTTTGTACCTCGCTTGGTTATAATCTGGAACATTTATGTTTTTTAAAGCAAATTTCATATACTGTATGAACAAAATTAGCTGAAACATTGTTAATTGTCATAATTTTTTAAATTTCATCTTGACAATATATGAAATTTAAAAAAAATAATTATTTTTTAAGTAAATAAAACTTTTAAAAAATAATAAAAATTATATTTTATATTTATAAAGTGTGAAACTAACGATTATGTGATAAAAAAAATCTAAAATAATAGTAATTATTTTATTTTAATAATTAGTTTTTAAAAATTATTACAAAAAATCAGTAAGTTCTGCGTGAGTCGGGACACCGTTGATCAGGTCAAGAAGCTTCTAACGCGGGTTTGGAGCGTGGACTGGTGGAGAAAGAATACAAATGGTATAATAAAGCAAAAAGCGACAAAATAATAAGGCGATAAAGTAAAAAAATGAAGACTAAAAATAAAAGGAGAAAAAATAAATATGAACTAAAAAATGAGTAAAAAATAAGAACTAGAAAAATAATAAACTAAAAAATTATTTAAACCATCTACAAAAACTTTCCTCCTTTCTTTATCTCCCTAAAATTTTGTTGTCAAACAGAGCCTTTGAGATTGAACACACGCAATAACAAGTTTAGAACTGTCAAGGATTTTTGTCAGTAGTTTGAATTGAACCATTCTAATTTTTATGTGCGAACTGCAAACAAAGACAGCAACCTTTTCATGATTTCAAACAACCACATGACGACATCATTTGGCTTAGAAGTGGCGTGGAGGTGTCAAAATGCTTTTCGCAGCTAAAGTTAAAAGAGATGTGGAGTAGGATCATCTGTAGCAATCTTGGTTTTTAAAATGATTTATGTTTATTTAAAAATAATAAATATTAAAATCATTAGATGGGATTAAAAAAATCAAGGGAATCTCTACTTCAAGATAAGTATTGATTCTGACGGAGGGTATTTAGAAGAAAAAATTAAAAATAAATAAAAATGATGTGATTATTTTCTTAAAAAGTTAATCAAAGTATAAATTAAATTAGAGTTTTGTTAATCTCTTAGAGTTGAGTTTGAGCATCTATAAATAAAAAATTTTATAAAAAAATTACAATGTTATTGTATTGAGTTATTGTATTAAAATTATAAAAATATAATAAATATTCTTTTAATAAAAATTTACTATTATTAAATGAATTAATGAAATCTATTAAATTATTTTTAAAATAATATATTTGAATTTAATGTGGAGATAATTTACAAAAGATGTGGCCAAAGAAATTGACACACGATTTGGCAGATTGAGAGCTTAAGAGAAATGGACTCATGGGGTGCAGGGACAAATGATGTGATTATTTTCTTAAAAAGTTTAATAAAAGAGTTTTGTTAATTTTTAAGTATTCATAAATAAAAAAATTTATAAAAAATTACACTGTTATTATATTAAATTATTATATTAAATTTATAACAATATAATAAATATTTATCTTTAATATTAAAGATTAAAATTAATAAAATTTATTAAATTAATTTTAAAATAATATATTTGAATTTAATATGGAGATAATTTACGAAAGATGTGGCCAAAGAAATTGACCCGATTTGGCAGATTGAGAGCTTCAGAGAAATGAAGGACTCAAGGGTTGTAGGGACACATCATTCTTGAAGGCATCCGTGATATTTCTTTGGTAGCAAATAGCAAAGCCAAAAGTGAAGACTTCACTCAAAAATTGGCTTTTGGGGTCTTACACGGCTGTATAATGCTGACTAAGTGACCCAAGAATAGACTTTATAATTGGCCTTGACTTCAGTTGACTTTGTCTCTATCGTAGCTATTCTTGTTTTAGTATATAATATAAGAGACCTTCGATTTTAACATATGAATTAGAACCAACTCTTAACCCTCTCAAACTCCTCCATTATCCCCCTTCCCCTTCCTTTGGATTTCCATACAAAGTACCCAATTTCAAATCAATATGAAGGTAACAATTTGTACCCTTTCTCAAGTTTTCTTTCCTTCAAAACCATTTCTAAAAATTTGTGAATTTTGCTGTTTCCATGCTTGAATTCTAGTTAAGAAGTATCATTTGATACTCAAAAGTTTGAGATCAGAGTTCTAGTGTCCAATTACAATATTGGCTATCTTTTAACTTTTTCCTTTTCCTTGTTTTTCCTTTTTATTATTTATATGATAATTGGTTTTGGAGTTTTCTTGCATAGACATGATTACAATCACAAGATTCTAAAAGTTCTCGAATTTTGTCTGTGACAGAAAGTGGTGCTAAAGGTGGAACTCTATGATGACAAGATCAAGAAAAAGGCCATGAAGGCAGTATCTGGTCTTTCTGGTATGCCATTTAAACATCCAATCATCTTTCTGTTGTTGATTATTTGTCTTTTTATGTTTATGAAATCAAGGGAAAAACCATATGGTACCCAATATTGAATGCTTTTGGGGTGAAATATTCAGGGGTTGAGTCAGTCTCTGTGGATATGAAGGACCAGAAAATGACCATAATTGGGGATGTTGATCCTGTTGTTGTAGTGGGCAAACTTAGAAAATTTTGTCATGCTGAAATTCTTTCAGTTGGACCAGCCAAAGAGGAAAAAAAGGAAGAAGCTAAGAAAGAGGACAAGAAAGATGAGAAGAAAGATCCAAAGGTGGAATATGCTGAACTTTTGAAGGTCTATGAAGCGTATTATAATCAAACTAGACAGCCATATCCATATTATTATTACAAAACTGTAGAAGACTATCCTAGTGGCTGTGTTATTTGCTAAGTCTTTATGGAGTTTCACAGAGATAATAAATGAGATCAAGAAAAGAAGACTGTAGTTGGAGTTGGAGAGTTATGGTTCATTTGAATTTTCCTTTTCCTTCTTTTCCTAGTTAAATTTTGGCCTTTCCTCTTGTTTTAGCTCAGAAAAAAGAAGAAAGTGGTGTATAAGCAGAGAAATATAATTTGTACATTATTTTGTGGTGTAATACAGCATATTCAAGATTCTGGTTTCCTTATCATAGAAATAACAATTGAGAGATGGGTTTTAATCATTCAGGTGTACAATTTTCAGTCTGCTGTTGAAGTTTTTCTTTTCTTTTCTTCTTTTAGAGTTAGACGTGCCATGGTGGCACTACAGAAAAAAATGTTGATACGACAAAATAAGGAACTTTTTTAGGGAAATAATTATACAATAAATAAAACTAAAAACAGTTTTAAAGGTGTAGTTGTATTTGAATACTCAGTTTATTTACCTATTAATTAATAAATTATTTTTAAATAATAATTTATGTTTAATATATATAATATAAATTGCTAAATAATAAATAATAAAAATAGTTCAATAATTTTAAGAATGGCTCTATTCTTGGTTGTTTGGTTCTTTAATTTGAATATAATAATGCCTTTCTTAATCTGAACAACATGGATCCACAGCAACAAAGAAAACCAAGATACAACCTGTAAGAATAATCACCACGCAGCTGAATCCGATGACGATAAAAATTGACGAGGATGATTATGATAATAGGGATTTTAGTGGTACCAAAAATTGGGGCATTGTATGTACCCATTTAATGCCGTAAATGTTATAATAAAAGCGATGTATAGCCCATAGAGTGACACTGGGTCTACTAGCTACAGAACAAGCCATTGGTGTGCTTCCCACAATTTTTTATTTCTTATCAAAGTATAGGAACATGTGATGCTTTATGTTTTTGAATTATATACCATTTGTACAAATTATGAAGTGTCAATATTTGCTATATTGCATTAATAAGTTTTAATTTTGGGTTAGCATATTAAATGGGACTAGACAACATTATCAAAATTTAGATTCCATGACATCAAGAAAAAGAAGGACCTTTTTATTTGACAATATCATGCAGAATATCCCACCATCGGTTTTTCTTTATAATGTCATCTCCATGGGTCCATACTTTATATATTGATTAAACAGCTGAAAAGAGTAAAAATCCTCTTAATTAAACTAAAAATACTATTTGGACGTTAATCAAAGTGCCTATAAAATAGGAGTTGTACCAAAAAGTTTATGTAAATTTAATTTAAATTTTTGCGAATTAAAGTAAATCCGAATATTCTGTTTGGTGTACGTATGGCCGTGGTGGTTATTAAAACCCTTATATATGAATAACTATTAGGTGGGTATTATGGATCTTTGTAATTAGTGTCCTCTTTTTTGGGTAGAATTGAGGTGACTTTAATGCGTGAAGTAGGGGAGACATGTAAGTGAATACGGTAAGGATGAGTTTTAACAAGCTAATTATAATTTTTAAATTATATTATTTTAAAATAATTTTATTTAAAAAATTCTCAAAGTGTCATTTTGATATCAAATTAAACTATTTCAATTGTTAATCAATTTAATTTTTTAAATAGTAATCCCATTAAAAATATATTTATTTGGTCAAGTGGTTTTATATTAAATATGATTTAACAGGTCTAGTAGCAAAATTTTATATCAGAATATTAATTGGAGGTGAATTTGATGTCTTCTTGTGTAGAAATAATTAAATTGAGTTTGACTTATTTGTTGTGATATTATTCTCACAAATTACTTAAGTTATCATAAAAAATTGACACATTCACACATTTGTCCGAGATATCATATTTACATTGAGAATACTCTCATCCTATAGCTAAAGAAATTTAGGTTTGTGTGAATTTATAAAATGAAGGATTTGCAACTTCCTTTAATGTTAAACAATTGGACTATGACTTAATATAAAAGTAATCATCCTTTATTTTTACCTTATGGTGGATATGGAGGGTTAAGAATGTTGATTGCATTGCTAAAAAAATTATCACAATTTATAAAATCATACTTGATGTAATGAATCTTACCAGCTAGTTTCATTTATATAAACAAGTGCAATGATTTCAAGCTCGCTTGAAGTATTAAGTTTATTGGGAGGCTGATCAAAATTTTGAATCCATCTTTAATATTGCTGGAAGTGTTTGGGAAGGTTTAAAAGAGTTAGTTTTAGTATTCTTATTAAAAATACTGAAATTTCTAACAATAGCTAAACCAATAATCGTGCTTCAGAAGTTGAAAATGACTTAGAATCTAAATACAAGACATCACTTATGTCACTTTGACACAACAAATGTCATAATTAAATCTCATGATGGAAATTGTTTCACATTTTCACAAGTATGCTAATGTCATTTGAGATATAAAAAAGTAACTGTGAAAAAACTGAAAAATTACCATAAGACACACTCTGCATGAAGGTAACACATCTGCAGATTTTTTTAACTAAGCTGGGGGCTTCTTTAGATGTTTTAAAGATTGAGTCTCACTTTTTATAAATTTGAGATTACTTCTTTACTCTAATGATAAGAGAGTTTCACATTTGATATTGTAATTTTTTCTATTTTTTATTTGTTTTTTTGTTTTTTTCTACCAAAAAATTACTTATATTTGTAAAAAGTATATTCTATTTAACAAAATTAATAAAAAAATATAAAATTTAAATTATTAAGTAAAAAATCACTAGATAAAAATATGAATAGAATATACAATAAATGAAAAAATTAATTTCAAAATTTCACTCTTTTGTTAAGATTTATAATTCTTTGATTTAATTCTATTAAAAATCTTTACTAAAATTTTTAGAATTTTAAAATTTAATATCCAAACAAAAAATTTAACCCATAAAATTATAATTCTTTTTTTTTAAATTATACTTAAAATATTTTATCTAAATATACTCAATTTTCATTCAATAATTAAACTCCTAGTTAGATTGAAAAATTATTTAGTATAGGACTTGAAAGAAATCTATTAAATTCGAAAGGATAATATATCAATAAAAAAATTTGAATATAAAAGTTAGAAAAAAGATGTTTGCTATTGTACTTTTAAACTTTAAAAGGTATTGGATATCCTATCTAAATTGAGGATTGTGATTTCTTTAGTATTTTAAAATTTAAAGAGTATTTACATTTTTTTAAAATAAATCATTAACTATATTATTTATTAATATAAAATTAACAGTCATAATTGTTTCATATGTAAAATAGCATAGAATATCTTCTCAATTTATAGAGCACAAATAAAATTTATCTAAAAATATCATAAACCAAAAAAAAAAAATAACGCTCTTGTAACTAATGTTTATTATTTAAATAATAATTTGATATATTTTTACTCTATTTGTAATGTTTTTATTTATGGATACTAATGTAATTCCTTTATACAAATGCTAATTTCACATTCACCTAAATAGAGTATTAATTGACATCCACAACACAAAACATATACTCTTTTCCTTTATACCACTACAAATGCTATTTTATAATTTTTTGTTTTCATAATTTAAAATAAGTATTTTAAATGCATTTTTATTTGTCTCTCTATTAGTAATTTATTAATTATCACCTTTATTATCTATGTGACATTGCTATGACTTATACAATATAACATATAATAATTATTTTATAAAATATGTTTATAATCTCAATTTAAAATATTTTATCTTTTAACTTAAATTTTATTTAAAAATACATAAAAATATAATATTTCAGATGTCGATTGTTTGAAAAAAAAATAATTTCCTAAGTTGTTACACTATATTTGAAAAAACTACTGTTAAAGTTTGTTGTACTTTGAAATTATAAGTTAAAGGTTTAATATTTTTTATTAGAAAATTATAGTTGGAAGAATATGCTTCAATTAAAATTGGATGATTATAAGAATTTTACTTTTTGACAAGTTCTTACGAAGTAAGATAATTTTTTGATATTTTTTTTTTTGAATGGTCATTGGAGCTTGACTTTTAGTTAAAAAGTTAACATTGATTTAACAAGTTTTATAAGGTAAAACTCTAAAATATTAAAATTAGTCAAAAAGAAGTTTCTCAACATGTTTTTTTAAAAATTTGCTAAAAGTTTGACAAAAATTGCTTTATAAACAAGTTGAAGAATTTCAATTCAAAAGATGATGGAAATATGTTGAAAATGTCAAATATGTTTGGACCGATTGCCAGCTGTTATCATTAGTTGGAGATCAACGTATGTGATAAAGGACATAGATAACATGCAAGAGCAATTATAAGGAACGTGCTTTAGATAGTTATTTTTAAGGTTTACGTGTTTTTCAAGAAGTGATATTACATTGTAATATAAATAGTATTTCGTTTCAGAGTCTAAGAGTAACAACTTTTTTACAAAAGCACTTGTACTAAAAAAACTCTACATGCTAAAGTTCTACGTTGGTTAGACTCAACAACCAAGAAATCAATCGTTCTTAGTATTGATTGTTTGAAGTTGTACATTTACATTTCTATAATTTTCATTCAATCAAGTTGTTAACTTTAATATTTTTAATGTTTTCCTTTATTGTTTACAATGCAATTCTTCTTCTTCTACTACTCCTTTCTATTTTAATTTTATGCTTTCTAATATGTCACGTTAAATAATTACATTAAGAACATGATAAGTCTGTATTTAGGGTTCCTTTTACAGCACATATATTCATGTTCGACCTTTATTTTATTTGGTCCTTAAATGTTAGTAAAAAAAACCTTTAAGAAAAAAGTAGGGCCAATATAACCAGATAGAAACTTAGAATTATATTAACAAAAATAGGTATCCTGCCTTAGGCTCTAAGGGTAAGGTTTTGGATGATTCTACTCTAGAAGAAGTTTACAAGTTAAGTTCTACCTGTCAAATTGCAATGAGAGTAGGTCAAAATGAGTTACTTGAGTCCAAATCTATAGAGAAAAGTATTTATAAACTTAAGAGACACATTTTCTGAAAGATTTCCTAAAGCTAAACCTAAATCTATGGATGTGAAACCTAACAAGGTCAAGGAGGATAATGCTCAAGCTAAAAGTTGGAGGGGCCTTAGTACTGAAACTATAGTCCATAACACATATTTCCAAAATGATAGGGAAATCATTGTTCTAATGTCCAAGCTTCAATAGATACTCAATAATAATTGTACATATAGCAAATCTATTCATAATTTATTAGAAATGAATCTTAAGTATTGGCTGAAAAACCTAATCAATGCAAGAAAGGTTCCC